GCTGCCTAAATAATTTACATAATTATGTAATTCCTATTTCTACATATATGTCAAAGTCAGAAAGGAATGAGCATTCATAATCACCTAACAGAGAGCTATGTACTTGTTAAAATAGTTTTTTTCTTTCTAGTAAATAATGCTTTTAGTACTGTTGTAAAACAGTGTTTTGTAGTACTGTACTGTAAATCACTTTTTATTCGCGAGAACTTTGTTTTCGCGTAATTACGTGAGACGGCATGCTCGGGAAAATTTCATTCTCGCATATTATAGAATTCTCTAAGATTATATAGAGCAATGACCACAATTCGTGAAAATTTCGCTAATAAAGAGTCAATGACTATCTCGTGAAAATAAAGTGTTGCGAAAATTAAGTGATCTACAGTATTGTAAAGCTGTACATAATATGTGCGGTGCAATTAAAAAATAATATATGGTTGTGTGTTACATGTACATGTACATGCATTTTATATTTATGGATTTATTTCTTTGCAGTAAAATAATGAGTAATGTTGTCAGTCTGTTCACCTCATCCTATGTATTCTACTGGCCCCGATACTTCAACACCCAGTCCATGCAGTATCCACCAGCCTTTGATGGGCGCGTTGTCTTGTATCCTAGTGATAAAAATCTCAGAGACTATCTCTCATGGAGACAAGCAGACTGTAAGTCGAAAACAGATCTACATTCAATGCATAGATTGGATGTATATGTGTACATCTATTTTTGTAGCTAAAGAACTATTTATGCAGCTTTAGTAATTGTTCACCAATAGACTGCAAGGTTACAGGTGACCAATGTTAGAATGCTTGTATATACATTCATTTTAAACATCTAAATTGGGCTTTGTGTTTTCTGAAATCTTGTAACCTTAAAGTCCCTCTCAGGAAATTCAGATATTTTAAATCTAATAGTGGAAATGTTGTATACTCTGGTCAGTGTCTATGGAACCAGTGGTTTCCACATCACAGGATTTACTCCCCTGTCTTATTTTTGCAAACGTGTTATATTGTATCTATTTGCACAAGTAAACAGAGACATTTTTTGAACATGTAAAATGATGTAAACTTGAAACATTTGATATCAAAGTTTTGAACTGTTTATGAAATATTTTAGGTCACATCAACAATTTATACAACACATGTTTCTGGAAGCTGGTCCAGGAAAGAGGCTTGACCCCTGCCCAATCTCAGGAAAGGTTAAAGGTCAGAACTACATTAATTACTATATAAAAATGTATCTCTACATGTGTATAATGCAAGCATTTTTGCAAATAAAATTTTGCTACATGACAGAAAAATCATAAATATCAATTGGGTGCTACAATATTTCTAATTTTTTGTGTATTTTGTATTTATTAATCCAAATTTGTTATAAGATTATACCAGTGAATTTTCATTGTTTTTTAGGGGACCTTGTCAAGTGATAAAAATGAGATATTATTCAATGAATTTAACCTGAACTACAATAACTTGCCAGAAATGTATAGGAAGGGGACAGTGATTATTCATCAAAAGGTTTGACTCATGTTTATTCACTACTAACACTAGATTATTCAATTATTTGTTCCATCAGGAAAATTTCATTGATGGCCAACCCCATTGACCAATACAAAACTATAAACATATAGTACTGATAGTAATGAAATTAATTGTACCACAGTTGTACATCTATACACATCTTCTTCAATTTCCCCCCACCTAAATTAAGTAAGAATTGTATATTGAATATGTTGGAAAAAGACTGCTTTGTTGGTAAATTTTATATATGTTATTCATGCCTTAATGCAAGCAAAGTAGATTTTTAAAACTTTTTTTTCTAGTCTTCAATAATTGTTCGGGTATTTTCAATTTTGATTAATATATATTTCAGGAAAAAGAGCTGGACTCGAATTCTTTGTCCCCAGTGGAGAGAAGTCCTCGAAACTCTGTGTCGTTTAGTTCCCAAGGCGATTATATTCCTCGGACACGGGTCCAAATACTCCATTGTGACATCATTAGTGAAAAATTCTGGACCGAACATCCTCAGATTCTAGATGGAATCAAAAAATAGTTAATGCACTTGACAGTAAAAGGGAGAGAATTCTGCAGCTTTAAAATGTTTGAAATGCATGTCAGATGTAAAAGTGGTCAGAGAGGTGGAAGTGAAAAATTAGTGTTAACCTAGGCAGCCACTTTGACTGTGAGTGATGCATTATGTTCATTGTGGGGGAGCCATTTTTTTGTCTCATTTTGTCAAAGTTTATATTAAACTTCCTTGTATTTATTTTAATGTGACGTTATACTCAATTACGCAATATTGTTGACAAAGTTTCTTCTGTACCTTCTGTATCTTAATATATGAAATATAAATTTATGTGAATCATCAGTACTAGTTTTCTGTTGTGCAACTACAAATCTTAAATTCTAAGTCTGTATAGTCATTGTGCATCTTCTGACTAGGCTCTTGCAGAATAATTGTGATTGTATAATTGTAAAGTTTTGTAATGCCTTGACTTTGAATCTTTTATCTTAAAGGTCATTATGACAATTAGTTCTATCACGCCCATTTCTGTTTTATTTTACACTGACTGACTGTTATAATCATGAATTAACATCACATTACAAAGGTCAAGGCCATGCCTCCTATTGAGAGAAAAAAATATGTTTCTATAATAACACATATAATTCAACTACTAAAGTATTTGTTGTCATATAATGTATGATGACCAGAGCTTCATTTTTTAAGCCGACTTAAATATTGGCCAATCATCTGGCTAAAATTTGATACCTCACACATTTAATGTTAGTGGTGTCATCTCATCTTTAACTCTATATTAAACTCAAAGGTCTGGAAGTTAAAGCAGTTGAGATAAAATTCTTCATTTGCTGCATGGTTTCAACTGAGGATGAATTGATAGTTACACTTTTTAGCTCACCTGAGCCGAAGGCTCAAGTGAGCTTTTCTGATCAAAATTTGTCCGTTGTCTGTCGTCGTCGTTGTCGTCGTAAACTTTTCACATTTTCATCTTCTTCTCAAGAACCACTGGGCCAATTTCAACCAAACTTGGCACAAAGTATCCTTGGGTGAAGGGGATTCAAGTTTGTACAAATGAAGGGCCACGCCCTTTTCCAAGGGGAGATAATCATGAATTTGTTAAAAATTAATGGCATTTTTAAAAAATCTTCTTATCCAGAACCGCTAGGCCAGGAAAGATGAAACTCATGTGAAAGCATCCTCAGGTAGTGTAGATTCAAGTTTGTTCAAATCATGACCCCCGGGGCAAGGGTGGGGCCAAAATGGCCGACCCAAGTTTTACATAGGAATATATAGGAAAAATCTTTAAAAATCTTCTTCTCCAGAACCACTGGGCCAGGAAAGATGAAACTCATGTGGAATCATCCTCAGGTAGTGTAGATTCAAGTTTGTTCAAATCATGACCCCCGGGGCAAGGGTGGGGCCAAAATGGCCGACCCAAGTTTTACATAGGAATATATAGGAAAAATCTTTAAAAATCTTCTCCTCCAGAACCACTGGGCCAGGAAAGATGAAACTCATGTGGAATCATCCTCAGGTAGTGTAGATTCAAGTTTCTTCAAATCATGACCCTCGGGGCAAAGGTGGGGCCAAAATGGCCTACCCAAGTTTTATATAGGGAAACCTTTTAAAATCTTCTTTTCAAGTACTTCAAAGCTATGATTAGTGATATTTATATGGAATCATCCTCAGGTAGTGTAGATTCTAGTTTGTTCAAATAATGAATGCCTGGGGGGGGGGGGGTAAATTCTAGCCTGATGTGCTCAGGTGAGCGCTGTGGCCCCTGGGCCTCTTGTTTCTTTTACTCTTTATCAGGTACTATAGCTGACCTTTCAAGACTAGATTTTCTCCTCAGACTTTCTATAAAATACTTTTCTATGGAGAAAGGTTATCATAAATGTATGTTTTCAATAACTTTTCAGAATTTCTTTAATATAATTATTATGACACTTTTGGGTTGCAACTAACATAAGCTTTTGATTTCATTACTCACGGTTGAAAATACAAGGATGATTGTTGCCCACACCATACAAACCTCTATGAAACTTTCTGCTCTTAATTTTTCTTAATTCAACTCCTTAAGTAATGTATACATAAGCTAACTATTTGGTGTTTTAACCTGCTCTGTTCTAAAAGTATTCAATCCATCATATCCTATAACTCAATACACTGTACATAAGACAATACACTGTAACATATAGGTAATACAAAAAACAACAGAGTGCATGGTTTTATTCGTTTTATTGAAGAAGCACTTTTTTTATACTGAATGCATTCATGTTGTCAATGTAATAAAAAAAATTGTGAATAAACAAACATTAAGTATATATTAAAACTAAAATCAGTATATCACAGAAAATCCATGACAGGATTTTTTTTTTGGTCAAGATCATGTAGCTAAACCTGTTAGAAAGGGCATTTCTATGATTGTTTTTCACACACAGTGTAAACTGCATTGGTGCCTAAGACACAAAAAACCTAACTTTATAAAAAGTGATCAAAATGAATGTTAATTACAATGACAATTGAACACCTTGGTAATGTCCACAAAAGTTTAAAGTCCCAACAACTATTTCTGTTGTGTATTTCAACCTCTACATGTATCTCTTGAATCTTTAGATATCTCAAAATTTTTATTTTATTACTAATCCTACCGACTTATGAGATAAAAATATTTTAACCATTTTCCTTATAATTGAGGACAGCCTTATTTTTTTTATTCTCTGTATACTTTGAGGCGCCAAAATGAACTACATCCCTTGTAGACAGGTTTTTAATGAAATGCTCCTCCCTTAAACAAATACTGTAGAAGTACTCTTTTCCGCGTGGTATTAATTTACGCTATGTACGCGGTCACAAGTTTTCCGTGGAAATTTGTCCAAGCGTACTTAATATAAATGTAAGGCATAATTATAGTGACAGTCTTAGAAATCCCCGTAATGTTCTACCCGCAGAGTAAACAGAAATTGAGATTCTGCGGAATTATGACCCTGTAGAAAAAAATTCGTCTACAGTACTTTAAGTGTTAATAATAATTTGTTTATTGTGACATAAGCTAAGATTAATTTACAAAACACCTATTCTCTATAAAAAAAAATGTTTGTGAATTGTTTCATTGAACAATATTTTAAATCAGAAACAACAGAATCCATATTATTAAATGTTTTTTGGAAAATATAAGCATTTTTTCCAGTGAATTATTATTTTTGTAATTAAATTATTTTTCTAAATTATATTTTTTGCTCAAATTGAGCTTATTTTGCCATAAACTTTGAAGGCAATTTTTGGCTTTTGTACCTTAAACTAAAAAAAAAAACTTTCATCTCACAAAGCAACTAATCGAACACATGCAGTGTCAAGGAGAGACAGTTTAGAAGGTCAATGATATGATAAGAACTACTGACCTTTAAGGGACTTGACCAGATAATTAGGGTAAAATTTGTGCACATTTCAATGGAATATGTATAGGGAAATTTTGGCAGAATTCAAAAGACAAGGATGTGGGTAGTTAAGCAGAGACTAACTGCCCTGTTTAGTCAAATACATTGCATACATGTACCTCTTCTGTTAGCCAGACTGTGTCTGTTGCCAGCTGCTCACCAAAATGGAGGTGGGAGTAGCAAGGGTTTTGAGCAGGGTATAGTTTCTATTTATCACCAATGTCAAAATCAAGCACTACTGAAGTAAAGATCTTGTCAGCACTAAAACACCTGTTTAAAAGATTATAAATTTTATCTGTGAATAAAGCCTTGTCAAAATAGCTTTTACATGACTGTACTGTTAGGTTGTGCTCCCTTCCTTACAAATTTCTTTTGCCTTAAAATGTTAAGTATGTTAATTATTCATATTAAGCAATGATTTAAACTTTTCATCAATGTTCAAAATTTAGCATTAAAAACTGTTATTTACTCTCGAACATGTCTACCGCATAGACCTTGTCTACACTGTGTACAGAAACCTACTTTTTTTCAAGTATCAGTTAACATTCACCCCCCTCCCCAACACATGTAGCCTTTTATATACGTTGAGTAAATCAGCATTTGTTTTTCGAAAAAAGGTCTCAAAATTTAAATTGGTACTATACACATGCACATGTACATCTCAAACTAAAAAAACAAATTATCTAGATAACATTACAAAAGATATAAGAATTGGTAAAATTCTATAAATGACATATTCCTTTGATTCAAAGAAAATAATCTGATCACAAAAACTACATCTTTTGGTGTAACTGCACAGTTTCATCATGCATCACATAGCACTATTCCAAATCATCCCTGATTTATTTCTCCTGAAAATTTGAAATTATAAAGCAAGTGGACACTTATGTCACATTTTCCCCCGTGTGGACGTCCAGGGTGACATCTATTACATTACTTAAGCTCTGGTTCAAGACTCGCTGAGCATTTAACTGTTTTTCTGCCTTCAGTCTTTTGTAGTCTCCCTTCATAAATAAAATTACAGAACAAGCAGCTACCGCAGTTAAGGCATTCATAAAAAGTCCTGGAACTGAAAAACAAAACAAACAAAAATGAGAAAACTTGTGCAAAAATCATTTCATTTAACAAAATTCTATCACCCTCCTCCCTTTATGACTTACCTGTCCAGTCTTGAGGTGTGAAGGAATCTGATGCACTACTACTGCAACCAGATCCTGATTTCAAGAGAATGTAAACAAACAAATGTCATAGAATGATCATAAATGTATTTTTCTGTATTATTATTCAAAACAAATGTCAACAAATGTCATAGAATGATCATAAATGTATTTTTCTGTATTATTATTCATATTAATCATTTAATTAAAATTATCAATGGGAATTGAAAACATATTTTTGGTACATGTCTATCACACAATGTTTCCGTAGTAGCATTTTCTAGGATGTTTATGGCGCAGTTTTAAAAATAGGGCCTGCAAGTGTTACATACATGTATTAATCTATAATGTATTCAAAAAATAAGAAGACTGAAAACATGGTTATCTAACCTTGTGCACATGCTGAGTCAGCTAACTGGGAATCAGAAAGAGGCTGGGTCAGTAACTGGGTCACCAGAATAATAATGATCCCCTGGATTTGTCTAGAGGACAGGTATAGCACGTGTAATACAGGTATGATCTTCATCTTATTGCATTTTTAATACATTTTTAAGTAAGATAGAATGGTGTGAACCTGAGAATCTGCACCTATTGCCACATCAATACGCAGCACAGTTAAGGTTACAGTAAGGAGGCGGGGCCTAATTTATACGGGAAATGTTTACTATGACGTCACGCATAATATAAGGTCTTCAAAATACCACAAAATGAAATTATTTGCTATTTCAAACAGCTGGATAGCTGTAAACTACATACAAACTTACTATTACATGCAGTTTTGATGTTTGTTAAATCCCACACAACAGTATATAAACGATGCATCGATCGCAATGCATTTGTCAAAATGACGTAGTTTGTACATAGTGAGAGGCTGATCAAGTCACATTTTGTACAATGAAAAATGTCTTTTGTTCTTAAATAAAATATTATTTGCAATTAAATAAAAGGCCGTTAATTTAGACGCGATGTCTATTTTAGTATTTTATTTATAAACTGTCCGTACATTCTCAATACACGTGATACTGTCGTGTGTTTGTATGCAGTTTCGTTGAAAAAGTAATGGAAGGGCCCTAATAAATCGATTTATTGCAAGGGCATACTCTCGATGTATCTTGCCAAGTTTTTACACATAAACTCAAGAAGCATTAGGATATTTGAAACGTGCTGCGAACCTCATGAAATCTTGCAAATAAATTAATTATAGCTATATTTAATGTAGTTGACCAGCAAAATATTCAACCTGCCGTCCAACAACTTAAATTTGCGCAATTAAAAAGGGAATCTATATAGGTTCGCAGCATTTTCCACTAACTACATATAGTGTTGAAAAGGATTATAAATTAAACTAAGATTTTTAACTTGGTTATGCCCTTGCAATATTGGAATTTATAATAATGACCTCTAAACTGCAAGTATAATTGCAAAAATCATGTGACGTCGACATCACGTGACAAGTCTAAATAAAAAATCTAAATTTCCCCAACATGTAGATTTAAACCACATTACATTTTTTTGATATCAGTGAAGTCCTAAAAAGAATCGCCCATCCTAATAAAGTATGTATTTTTTATGTTAAAAAATCGCCGATATTTCCATTTGTAACCTTAACTGTGCTGCGTAGGATAAAACTTTATCACTTCACGTGTCGGTGAAGCATTCATCCCAAAATCACTGAATAAATATTGTAAACATGTCATCTGTGGTTCATGAGCTAATACAGAATTACACAAAAATAAATGATTGTTATCCATTTATAGCTGTATATATTTCACGTTCTGGGACAAATCAAATCCAGTGCTTTCATCTTCTCAAAATTTTATATTAATCTGATCTTAAACAGTTCATTTTCTCAGCTCAAATGCACAGGCTCTTAATGTATATTTATAATAGTCTGAAAGTTATTAAAGTGGGATAGAAATAATATTTCCATTTATTGTCTCCTCATTTTTTCATCTCAAGAGCCTAAAATATTGAAAAGAATCTCTACTTACCCTGACACAATTAAAAGACCTGAGCTTGTTGCTTCCGCAACAGGGTAGGTAATTTCTACTGCTAATTCCATAGATATTGGATACATGGCAAAAGCAAAAGTTCCAAATGCAGTCACCATCACTGCTATAAGTATTTCTTGATCTTTATATCTGGCCATCTGAAAAATAGCAAGTAAAAAAGATCTTTTTCTGTAAAGTTTAAACAAACTAACTAGTGTATTAACATTGATTTTTGTTGATTTTTAAATTACTGTTCATATTTTTTATGGTCTGCTAGGTGAACACACCTGACTGAATCAAGGACTGGACATGAATTCTTTTTAACCTGTTTACATACACATATATCAGTAAATAAAGTCTAATAAAACTTTTCATGTTTTCTGATTTTTTTTAATCCTAGCCATGGATGAACAATATTATTGTATATATTAAATTTATCGCAAATCTTGCTCGAAAGTATACACTTTGACCGATATTATAATGCACTGAGTGATGACACTGATGAATCTGACTGAAATACAATTGAATCTTACTGATCTTCAAATGTGAAATTCAACAAAGAATCTGACTGATGCTCTTTTATAGGCCCGCCCACTTTCTCAAAGGTAAAGCCAAAGATATGGAATGTTTCCAAGAAAGGTAGACAGCTGTAGAAAACGGGCAAAAAAGTGGTACTTATTGCACTTAGTATGTAGTAGACCTACGCAATACCTTAGTAAATTATTGTGAGTGTGGGTAATCTGTATAATGATCTTCAAATAAGATATGTTCCACAACTGGCAGCAGTTGACTGAATACATGTCATGATTCGTATCAGATGCATGTTCCCAGGCCACATCTCTCGTTTTTTTCTTCAGTACATCAATAAAATTAAACGTACTTAGATTTGGTAAATGTTGTTATATATTATTTATATAAGTGATATTTCTTATCTTTAATGAATAATATTCGCAGTGACAGTAAAAATTGCACTGCCTGAAAAAAAACACAAGGATTAAGATTTTTCTGGTCGCATGTTTATTGCCATGACGACGGTTAAATGGGTATGTAGTAGCACACATGCATTTAAAACATATGGTATTTTTGACAGTCGTGACAATAAAACAGTAAACTTTTGAATAAATCCGATGTTTTTCGTGTTTTACCACCTATGCATTTATATTTTTATTCACTGAATAACAAGTGGTTTGTTATCAGCTGGGTAATCGCATGATTTCCAGTATTACCCCAGTTTTAAATTTGCTTGTATTTGCAATGAAATAGCTCACTAAGTCTTGTGACTAAAACATGGAGAACAAAAGATTTTTAATGCACTGAAAAGTCGCACAGAACAAACACCTATAAAATGTAAAAATGTAAATAGGAAATCGGCAGAAATACTGTGCACCATTGAATGATACAATGTATTCATGTAACGTCTGCGTAAGGAATAAATCACATGCTAAGCATTATTTATATTTTGTTTGCTTTTATGTGTTTTTTTCTTCAGAAAGTCAACAATGCTTTCCGACAATCAAACATGGCTATTCGCTAGGCCGTTGGACGCTCTTATACAGGCAAAGGATACCGCACGAGAGTGGTCGGGTCCTAATCAACCAATTAAAACGCTTGTTTTATAAAATGAAATTCATGATTCAAATTGTTCAATTGTCAAATCCAACAGTGTCATCACTCAAGGCAACGCTATTTTGGCCGAAGTGTAATACTTTCAAGCGAGATTTGTGATAAATGTAATACCTCAAAAAATCCAACTCCAAATACTACTGCTATTGCATAAGACACCTTGACCACTTCTTCAAATCGTTTGGTTTTGTCGACGTATATCCCTGCAACAATGGCCCCCACTACCCCACCTACAATCATCAGAGCTCCACACAATCCAGCAAAGTCCTGAAAAATTAAATTTTTATGCTTTATAGGCAAGTCTCTCTCCATTTTCTGAATTTCACTTAATTATCAAGTACATGTAATAACAGGTAAAGGCAGTACTGCGGATAATCAAATTTTCGCAATACCTTATTTTCATGAGAAAGTTATATGGTACGCCTTCAGGAATTTCATAACAGTTTAATGTCTACATTTTATTAAATCATTCTGTCAAAAAATATGTAAAAATAAAAAATAGAGTGGCATGAAAATAATACCGCAAAGAGTGTACTAAATATCTAATTTATAAGTCTTGTTTCTTACATTAGAATAACCTCTTGGACACAAGACTTGGTCCAGGAATGATGTCACTGCTGAGAATACTGCTAATCCTGTGCCAAAACTAAGACACAACACCCAGTAGTTTCTGCTCTTCACAATCTGTCCAAGAAAAAGATGTCTGCTCTTTGTAAATGTATCCTTATGTTGAACATCTTCTCTATATATACTTGTACATGCAGAAACTGTAAAGACTTTGATATGTGGATGTGTGATAATTTTTTAATGCTTATTGAAAAAAAAACACTTTTAAATAGATGAATTAATGCCCTTAAAAATCAATTTACAAACCTTTTTGAGCCCCTCCTTAAATGGTTCTGAATCCTCCTCTGCACTGGCTGTGGGAGGGGTGGGAGGGACAGAGGAACACACTCCAAAAGTAGCCAAGATAACTACCAAAAATGCTGGCGAGGATATTACCCAGAGCTATCGAAACATTGTGAACAAAAATCAGAAGAGTAATGGTTTTCTTAGTTGGCCTATCTATCAGTTTAAGTAAATTTTAATTCAGTGTTACTCACAGCTCTGGGAAGTTCCTCTGAGTTGCATCCATTGACCATTGCAGGTGCTATCAAGTTAGCTGCTAATATTCCTAGTGGGTTAGCTAAGTAAAAAAAAAAGTAATAAATTAGTGCACTTAAGTCTTTAAACAACATATTTACAGTCTTTTCAACATTCAGACATCATCATTTTTTTTTAGTCCCATCTTGTTTGAAGGAGAAAATTTGATCATAATATCTCTTTGTTTAATAATCCTCTTTGGGTACATTCAAGATTGAGTACATTTGATAGCTTTTCTTAACGACATTGGATATTGTACTGATCATGTTGATAAATCCTTATTTGAATCTGTTTTACATATTTCTCGAACTTTCCCTGACCCAAAATGATAGCTTTGCATCATCTAATGCAATATTTACCATAAACTTAAAAGCAAAACAATGAAAACAAACAAAACATGTTTTTAATCTTGAACAAACAGAGATCTATATTCTAACCAGATAAACTTCTCTCTGTAATTATTAAGACTGAATTCAATGCATATATAAATCCTTTATTACCCATGGAGGCCAGCATGTTTGCAGTTGCTCTCTGAGAGTCCATAAACCACATAGCCGCCAGTTTGGTTGGTGCAAACATCACAAAAGGTTGAGAAATGGCTGCTAAAGTTTGTCCCGCCAGCAGGATCCAGAACCTTAGGTCACCTGGTATACCTCCAAATGTACTCACATTTCTCAAAAGATTTCCAATGCCATTCAACCAGGCTGACAACAGTATCTGTTCATTAAAATTAATATATCTGAGCATCAATGTTTTATTGATTTATTGTTTTATTAATTGACTTTGCCAGTAGCACTTACACTGGTACGCAGTCCATAAGTGTCTAGAACCCAGGAGGCAGTGAAACCAAAAGGGACAGATGCCACCATGAAGATGAGGGACAGTATATTTACTTTGAATGCATTCACATCATAATATGTACTGGTGAGGTCAGCTATTGGGGAGAATGTAATCCATGTCTACAATAAAGTACATTAAATTCAATATTACTGCCAACAATAACAAAATTAATACTTCAATATTACTATTTTTTGGTATCAATTTTTTTCTCATTTATTTAGGGTATAGAGTTTTTTTATTAGACTTTGTTATTCTTGCCACCTCAAAAGATTAATGCATGCTCCTATCAGCTAAACATAGCTCTCTCGACATTGGTTCCATGTTCGTTCGCCCTAAAAATTGTTCGCCCGATTTCCCGTTCGCCCGATTTCTTGTTCGCCCAGAGTCCGATCGCCATAAAACTTGTTTGCACAGGGTCTGTTCGCCGTAACTTAACGTAGAATAAAATCTTAAGAATTTCTATCCAAATTTTTTTTTGTACATTCAAAATAAAACAGGCCGTCACTGTGTCCGTCAGACTTTATGCATATGGTCACAAATGGTCACACCTGTTTTAGTATCAGCGGTCTCACCTATTAACGTCTCAGTCCTTTAATTGTTTTCAAAACATAATGCAATTTGTAAAAATAACACGGATGTATCCCCCTAATTAACATTGATATTAATTGTTCAATTAACTATAGTGCAAACACTTAGTCAATCACAAACATTAGATATAAAATCAAATCAAATCAAAAATTAATTTAGACTAAATAAACATTGCTCTTCGTATCAGAATTTGCGAAAAAAATAATCCAAGTTCGTAAGGGAAATAAATAGAAAAAATGATATACTCGTATGTTAATTATACCCCCCACTTGAAAAGCGGGAGGGTATATAGTAATCGTTAATTCCGTCCGTCTGTACATCTGTCCGTCTGTTACGTTTTGGGGTACCAATCTCTTATCCGCAACTCCTCTCATACCACTGAAGGAAATTTAATGAAACTTTCACAGAATCTTTATTACATATTGCTATTGTGCACCTCCTATTTTACTTTTTGATCCGACACATATTTTGGGTTTCCAGGCCACAGCAAAATATGGACTTTGCAATTATAACTATATGGAGGGGGGGTATCATTTAGTGAGCTCATCGCTCACAGTACCTCTAGTTTTTCAATTCGTATACTAGTACACAAGACTTAGTATACATGTATATAAGTATTGGGTGAACCACGTATAGGGCGAACAAGATATTGGGTGAAGAATATTTCGGGCGAACAATCTGCGCAAACGGACTCCTGCGAACAGGTAGATCGAGCTAACGAACCCGTTACCCTCGACATTGTACCAAAAAATATTTTGTGAATTTATTTAATTTGAAAAATCAATCTTGCAAAAACTTACATCAAAATAACTAAAGATAGCTACCCTGAGTAGTTAGTGCGAGCTAATTTTTCTAATTCAGGCTACATAGCTAAATGTAGTGATTTCTTTGGCCTCGAGCTGATAAATTGTAAACACTACATCTCAACTTTCCGATTCACATATTGTGTAAACAAAGATATACGGTTTACAGTCACTTCGTACACAAACCGAGTCGTATACAAACCAACTCGTATACAAAAAGTCAACTCGTACACACAAAAAAGTCAACTCGTACACAAACCAGAAGTCAACTCGTACACAACTCATACATAGGTTTTTCTATGTGATTTAAGGTAATATTTGCCACAGTTTCCAAATAATTGAGAAGTCAACTCGAACACAAATGTATTTTGAGTTAACTAAATCAGGATTGTCAAATTCATTCTTAATTCTTAAATTAATATATTCTTTTAAAAAAACGTGATTATCTTAAATAATTCTTATATTGTAAATTTAAATATTTTATTTGTTAAATATGTAGTTGAAAAACTTAATTCAAATGGATTTCTAATTGTCAACAAAATTGTTATACGTAGATTTTATATTTCTAAAAAGTTTTCTGTTATGCAAGTAATTATATTAATGCTTGTTGATGTAAAAAATAATATTTTATAGCATCCTAATTTATAAATAGATATAAAGTGTAGATAGTAAATGCGATCTAAATACATGGTAAGAATTTAATGGTATACTGTATAACACATTTTTCTTACTGTAACATTTTATAGCGAGCGCAGCGAGCGTCGCAAAGCGACGCTCGCGAAGCGAGCTCAATAGACTAACGTGTATGAACAGAGGAAATTCGGATTGAAATCTGTACATACGTCAGCCAAATTTCTCTGTGCAACATTCCCAGAATTCCTGCACTACCCAATGTCCTCTGCGCAAATAAATCAAAAATAGTAAAAAAAATTAAAGGAACATTATTTCTTACCGAAATCTTAACGAGATGATTTTGCCTTACCTTATTCAAAAAATACCCCCATGCCACAACACCGGCCTTCACCTTGCCCTTCCGAAATGATACAAAAGACGTCACCGGAAACTTACGAATTTTGACGAAGTTATGTCGGTTGCTTCCGTGAAACTCGGAAAACATGTTGCGGTGCATAGCAACATGGTGGCTAAAACATAGCAACAACTTACTTGAAAAGAACGATTTAATGCAATCTCTTTTCCATAAAACTAGCGTTTGTTCCTAAGTCAACATACTTTCGTCACTTCAACGGTTCGGGTATTTCCGATTTTGTCGGAAACTTCCGAGAAGTTTGGAATCTCGATCCCGATGCTTGGGAAATGATTTCTTTTTATTGTTTTGTTTTATTCTTTTTGCTTTCTTTTTCTTGAATGATAGACTGTAATGTGTAGGTTTATGATAGTAAATAAACTGCGCTCGCCCCAACGGTCACACCGTAAAACATATTTGTAATTTTTATTTAAATAAAAAAAGTTTTAGAAACTTACCGCTGCAGGAAAAAACTCTCTCGAACCATGGTGATGTATAAAATGAAGAAACTTTAAAGATAGTATCTCACAATCAAAGGATACCCAATTATGAGCACCTCGTAATTATATAATTCAAGAAAAAAGCGCGCGTGTGTTGGTTTAACAATATTTCTTTGATGTTCCTATCAGGGAAGTTGAATTATTTAAATATTTAGGGAAAAAACTTAAAGAAAAGTCGTGTTATCAAACATTATTTGTATAAAATTAAATCATTAGTAATAAAAAAAGTTGTGTACACTGACTTCTGATTTTTGTGTACGAGTTGACTTTTTGTATACGAGTTGGTTTGTGTACATCGGTTTGTGTAAACTGGACACCAGATATACCAGTAGCTACAAGACAAATGTATAGTCTGGCCTGATTGACTTCTGTCACCCCTCAACGTGTTTAATGCCCTGATTACTAGATAACATACTTCTGTTGTCGGAGAATGACTTCGGTTACCTAGACAAAACATTCCTATACAAAAACACAACTTACCATAGCATTTGATAAATTCAAAATGACAATAACTAGAAGGATGAACCATCTTCGTGCATATACAACGTATTGCTCGTCTGGTTTGGACACAATCGACTGTTTACTTTCCGATTTTACGGGATGTTCCCTCGCACCACCGGAGGGCGCCATTTTTCGATCATGTGACTGCATCTCCATAATTTGTATTTGTTGCACTTCGAGTTCGACGTAATAAAAATTTTTTCTTCATAAATGACTCAAGTTTAAAATCCGAGCAAATTCGATCCATGAAACGGTTTTCAGAATCATATTATTACAAGCATACATCAGATCCATTACAACAAATTGCACTTTATAATACTGTGGTAACCTCCAGCACCTAACATTTGGTAACTTTGAGAGAAGATAGGCTTGCAGATTTTTCCGTTGTTCTAGGTAACTATTCCTAGATCTGTCTCAAACTCGATGCAGATTTAACTTAAAGATAGCACTTTGCATTTGTTAACTTTAAATCCTGGGTCGCTATTCACTTTTTGAAAGTTTTGGGTTGCTATACCACAGGTAGAGATAAACTGCACTATGACATTATCTAATCTATTTCTTTTGGGCCATGTGTACATGTGTGAATCCATTGAAATATTCATGAATGATTGGATTTATCATCTTTTTATTTTATTGAAATAATTTTTGGAACTTGAACTTAATTCTATTTGGGTAGAATCAGTTTTTACAGTGACAATGCATCGTTTATTTTTGAAAGTGCGGGGGCAGAGAAAAAAAATAACTTGCATGGAAAAAGTTATCAAGCAAAAAAATACAAAATAAATTAAATATAAATAAATAAAATAAATAATTCTATTTGGGGGGGGGGGGTCCAATTTCTTTCACTACGAAATTTTATTCATACAATCAGCTAAACTATAATTATATACCTTGTCTTGACTTTACTGTGGGGGTTATGGGGGGGGGGGGGGCAGCCTTTCAAAGAACATTTTTTCAATAGTAAACTTGAAAATATTATTTTGGAAACAAGTTTTTGGGAGCCCCCTCCCCCGGTTGCTTCATTTTTTTAGATTACAGGAAAGTAGCATCATTTACATGTATACTTCAAATTTTGATAGTATAAAAATATGAAAATTGTAATAATTGGTTTCGTTCACCATGTTAACTAAAGTGTTTGTTTAGAGGACCTTCAGGAATTAAGTTGAATGTTTGCGCAAACGGCATTTATAAGCTCATTACCATAAATTATTCAACTATTCAATCTTTAATTTAATATATAATGGTAAAATTCTTTGCTCCTTATTGCTTGAATTCATGTTTCAAATAAAATGAAATGAATATATACGTATGCCATACATCATCCCCTCCCTCCAAATTATTGGAAGTTATGCATATGCACTGGCGCATTTAGAGGGGGCAGGGGGCCCGGGAAACAAAATGCCTCCCTTTGAGTCAAACAAATACATAGTAGTTGATAAATCAACGTTTTTTTTTGGCGTGGTCGTGGGCCCCTACTCTGATCTCAAACTGGTCTTCCCCCCCCCCCCTTTCAAAATTTTCTGGATCCGCCACTGATATGTAACGTAACTGATTGAATGAATGTTAACAGATTTTAAAAATCTTCGAAATGGGATGATGTTTAACCCCCTTCCTGCAAAAGTAAGGCTGAAATAGCATTTCACAGGGGGAAGTGAGGTCAGTGCAACGTGGTTCAGTACATTTAAAAGGTAGGCCTATATTATTCCAAGAATCACTTTAAATTTGTTGGACTCCCCAAGATGACCTGGACCCATCTTGAGTTGATTGGAAGCTTTTCTATGAAACAATACGTACGTTACCCCCCCCCCCCCCCTTTGCCAAAATTAAGTTTCGTGATTGGGCATATTGTTCTTTAATTGTAGTATATCTCTTTTGCAAGAATTATATTTTCCACTAAAAAAATCATGCTCATAAGCAAACACTTATATTCTCCACCCAAAAAGATAATTTTTATATACAATATGTACTCAGCTTATCCGAATCCAAAGTTCAGAATTTAGACATTTTAAAAACTAGGCTTTCTGATACATGTAAAGCAGTCAGCAGCTTCTACACAAAAAACAAAACTCGAGCAATATTCTGCTCGGTCATCAACAAAATAATAACTTTTTTCAAAAAAAAAATTCATTCAATTCTGTAAGTACTCTGAATGTGATATTAAAAAAGATATTGGAATTTCTCACTGACATCTATATGTATAGTCTCTTCCAACAAACTGTAGGAATTCCAATGGGTACTAATTCTGCTCCTTTATTGACCATCCTGTTTTTGTATTCCTATCAAACAAATTATTTCAAAACTTCTACAGACAAGAAAGCACTTGCCATGGCATTCAACTTGACATTCAGATATATCCACAATTAATAATCAAACAATAGTTATAGTGATTTATCCTGCAACTACCCCTTGCATTGACCTAATAAAGGTAACCTAATAAAGGTAACATAATAAACCAAAGCTTTATCCGATCACTGCCCTAATAAAGCCTCGTGCATATATTCCGACGTTCTAAAAGAATTGTGACGTCACGTATACTGCAATGTTTACGCCATGGCGCCATAGTTTCAACTGCAGAGATGTGCCTAAATCTGTCGGAATTAGCTTGTTTTGGACGCTCAAATGTAAAATTTTATTGCAGGATAAACAAAATACATGATAACTGTCTTGAAATATAAGCGATATTTGGGCTCGGGTCGAAAACGTAAGAGGGCTTGGCAAGCCTCGCCCTCTATCACGCTTTCTTACCCTCGCCCAAATATCACTTATATCTCAAGACAGTAACCATGTATTTTATATATATCCCTTGAATTAGAACTAAAAGATGCCGTAGGCTGCCATTTTGTTTCATATTTGGATGTTGTTCCGACTTTTGACGACAAAGGCCAACTAATATTTAAAGTGTATAATGACAATCTAGTTTTCAAATTTTTCCATCATCTTATTTATGACAGTAATATCCTGATATCATGTACTAACGAAGTTTCCCAACTTATTCATTAATCCAGAGCATGCTCCGAGCACAATCAACCCAAAACAAGGACAGGCCACTCACACATGATATGATGTTTCAGGCTTTTCATTAAAGTCAGTATTTTTAAAATTCTATGGGGTTTTTTGTTGGTTTTAATAATGGCTTGAGAGAGTAATTAAATATTTTTATAGGAGAGAATCGAGAAGAGAGGCAATTAAAACAATATTTCAAATTTTGGTCTATTTCTTGGAAAGCTTTCACTATTATTTTACAATTTTTCAAAGAAAACAGAACACAAAACTTTTTCAATGAACTTTTAAAAAAAAATAACTTATAATGTAAGATGACAAAACCAACATAATAATGAAAATGATTTTATGAAGTTACATTCACCAACTCAGTCCAAAATGAATATAATTAATGATAATGATGAAAAGGGAAAGGACAGTTACATTAAATAGGATTAATACAAAAATGATTGTCACACTTCTTTTTTCTTTTTAACAGGAAGAAAAAATCTTGATATTTGTACTTTATGACAGTTGTAAAAGATGAAAATTAAAACCAGAAACATACATAAAATAAAAGTAGAAGATGTCTTTTAAAAATTGCACCAAAATTAACTATTAAAATCTAAACCTAAAAATTATAATACATGTATATACTATCTTAAAATCTATTTTATATTAACTAAAACTTTTTTTATACAGTTCTATGTACAATTATTTTACAAATCAAATATACAGTCTTTACAAAGTCATATGTGCACTAAATATGGCTACTGAACTAACATAAAACCTGAGTATATAGAGAAACAACTTTTGTATATACAAGAGCATCCGTCAAAAGTTACAAAACATATCTGACACATATCAAAATCAATTTAACACACTTGTATTTGCTTTCAAGTTGAAAATAAAATAACACAAAATCTCATCCATCTTCAAAAGCTGATTAGATGAGACAGGAAAATTTAATTACGGATTGGAATATCTATCATATGATACATTATCCTATCCTAGAGAGAATTTCAACAGATTTATTTTCATTGCTTACTACCAGAGAATGAATTCCAATACATGTACTTTTACATACCGATACACTAGAGATACAAGCAAATTTGAGATATTAAAACTCTATTGATAATCATGTATAACATGAGATTCCAATTACAAGATGGTGCATTTTGCACCCATGCTGGTGTGAGCAGAGGTGTTCAGACTGCCATTCAATGTCACTGTTGAGTTAGTTTTTTCTTTAGTTTTCAGTTTCTTGATTTTGCTCTCCTTTTTGTTCTTCCCTTTCAGCAGCACCTCCCTGTTTACAGAATCAGGCTGTACTCTCGCTGGGGTACCTTTTCTTTCTGCCAATTTTCCACTATGAGGCAAAGGAGAGCTCATCTCAGGGGAGACAACCTGTACAGTTTTTTGAGAATTTCCATCTTGGTTTTCTTGAGTTTCAATTTTGGATTCTTTCTCTTTATTGGAATCTTCATTCGGTAGTGAGATCTTTGTCAGTTTAACCTGAGGTGTCATATCTGCTGACATTTTAGTTGTTTTCTTGGCAGACCTTGCTAATCTTGGAGTCTTCATGGGTGTTTTAAATTCCATGGACTCATCAAGGGAAGTATCTCCACGTTTACCGTCGACACTACTTTTTGACTTAGCTGGAGTTTTCCGTGCAGACTTTGCGGACTTTCCAGAAGAGGTTGCTGACACTGCCTCAGTCAGCCTGACCTTCTTAACCTGAGGGGTCTCTGTGGAAAGATCCATTTTCCGTTTTACTGTCAATTTTGGACTTTTTGGAGTCTTTTTGTCCTCTTTCAGTTCTGGTGTCAATGTCACTTTGGATTTCTTCTTTGAGTCTGTATCATTTACTTCACTGTCATCGTCTGATTGCTCAACATTTCTCTTCCTGGTGCTTCTTGATAAGGCTGGAGTTCTGCTCTTCCTCTTCGATGCAGACCTGAGTTGTTTAGAGGCAGACTGGGCTGGCGTCTTCTTTATACTTCTAGGTGTAATCTTTGGTGAGCCAGGTTTAACATCCTCCATAGACTTTGAAGCTTGACTCACTGGGGTCTTTTTGACACTTCCCCTCTGTTTTCTTGTGGAGACAGGTTGTGTATCCTCTGAGGCACTGTATACTGGTCTAGCAGGAGTCTTGAATACAGCTTCCACATTCTCAAGAACAACTTTGGGCTCTTCTTTGGATTTGGCAACAGATCGTCTTGGTGTTTTCCTCAGCTTCTTTTGCACTGGCGTGTTTGAGTCCTTTTCTTCAGATTTTGATGTGTTTGGTTGGACAGATTTTCTTTTACTTGCTGCCTCATTCGATTGTGGAGATGAAACTTTTCCATGTAGAGAAGTTCTAGAAGAAGACCTTTCGGGTGATTTTGGACATACAGACCTGCGAGTTGACACTGGCTTCTTTGTCTCTGCAGTTTCTTCTTTTTCCTTGGTTCCTGTCATTTTCCTGGTTTGACCGCTAGCTACCGTCTTCTGGACCTGAGAACAAGCTTCCTGTAGAGTTTTACCTTTCTGATAAACAGATGACCGCCTGGTGCGCGTCTTTACTCCGGGTGGGGATACCACTTTTCCTGGGCCTTTCTTTGGTTTCTCCTGAGGGGTCACTGCAATGGTTAGCCTTATCCCTCCTTTTCTGCTATGGACGTTGAATATGGAGGACCGTCTGGATCTGGTACCTATGGGAGAGGACCTAATGGGCTCAGGGAGTTTGAACATGGTGTGTCTCCTGGAGTTGGTGGTTTTCTGCGTTGCTGTTCCTGTTGGAATGACTGATTTCCTGCAAAAATATGTATAGATTGAATAAAAAATCATAAAATGTTCAGTCCTTTGCAACTGCTTCTACGACAAATTTTATTTTTCCAGAGTGTATAGCATACACTATGGAAAGATTTTTAAAAACATTTCGGGCAGCTGGATGTTTTACGGAATTCATTAGAGTTTATAATGATATAACAAACTATATGAATTTCAAATACTGTTACAGCATGTACAGTGTAAATGGGGAATAAACACAGTTTTTGTTCAGTGAAAATAACTGTTTTTGCCATAGATATACATAAATCAGATCTTATACAAATAAATAGGTGAAAATTATATTTATACAAGGTAGACTCTGTATTTGCATGAAAACTAACTCTGTGTATCATTTTTGTTTTTATGTTTAGGTTAAGAGAAATATTTTCACTTTTAATAGATCTTGAAAACCTCATGGGCAGAGGTGTGAACATCAAGTTTTCATTTGTGATACAGGATTTTTTTCCTCTCATCTTTTTACTTGTGCTTTACACTCATAGAAATATCCAAAATCCTGTCCTACTCATGAAATAAATTCCATATCCAACTAAATAACATGGAACATGAATATCCTATCAGTGCCAAAAATGAATAATTGATTTTAAATTAATCTTATATGTATTGAACAATGGAATGTTTTCAATCGGCAAGTGCTTTTTCTTTTCTTTTTTTTTCTTTGAATAAAACAATGTCTTTTTTTTTTTATTTCGAACTGCTTTTATTTTCTCTTGCTTGAATTCTGCTTTTTCCTTTTAATCTCTTGTACATAACTTTATAACTCTTGACATACTGATAAAATCTTATCCACAAAGGCCCTCCTTTATTTTTATACAAGTATTGTAATTACATGTATTACTTTATAACAAAAAACCACAGAGGAAAAACTCACACCTTTTAGACTAAGATAATAACTTTACAACAATTTTTTTTTCCTTCAGGGCAAATTTAGAACAAGTTCATGTTAGTTTATTCTCACCTTCCTTTGCGAACATTGTTTAGCGGAGATTCTTCTAACTCAAATTTCATCTGACTTCCCGACACCCAGCCAGGAGTTTTAGGACTGTAAAACTGGGTAGTGGACATCCTGTTGTGAAGAAATAGCATTATGTGTATTATGTATTTATAATAAATCATTCTCTTTTAAAATGTTTGAAATTTGTCCATTCGAAGGTTCATTTAAAAGACAATATACACTGTACTTTATGTACATGTTTTATATATATGCAAATAATCTCTCCAAATCATGAATAGATCTAAGTTACCCTGCTGATTTTTCTGGGGTTTTGGGGGGACCTCTCCTCCGTGGGGTTCTGCTGGACACACCTGGCATGGTTACACTTACCGTTAAAATATAATGACAACATAAACAATTGTTTAAAAGCTCAGAAGGATGAAATAAACTTAACTAGATTTTTTTTTTTTTTTTTTAATAAATATTCGTCTACTAGATCATGTAGGTAAAATTTTATTACATTTTTACCAGTGTAATACTGTAATTTATTCATTGAATAAAAATGATGTTCTGTCACAGTGTGACAGGATATCAAAATGATATCCTTTCAAATTGTGACAAATATCAGAAGTGTGGGAAAACTCACGACTTTTCCTCCCGATAACAAAGAGTGTTGTAAGAAATATTCCTTGGCTTGTTATAAGACAAAGAACGAGTTAATAGACAATTTTGACAGAGATAAAGACAGCGAACATTCCCCCAAATATGTTGCTGAAATTCATGTTTACAATGTTTCTCACTCAGCAATGATGTCTCAACTGATTAACTATGACGAGTTGTAGCCTAAAAGTCTGCATTACAAAAAAAAATGTGTGCAAAGGGAAAATCAAAGAAAATGGTAATAAACAGAAAATTCAATGTGTTGTCATTGAAAATGAAATTTATTTCACTCATGAGTTATGCCTTTTTTTAATATTTTCACATGTGCTTCGCACTCGTGAAAATATCAAAAAATTCTGTCCCACTCGTGAAATAAATTCATTTCCATATTCAACGACAAAACATTGAATATCCTCTATATATCATTCATATCACCCCCCCTTTTTTTTTAAAATAGTACATCATTTTTACACGTGTGCAGCATTAAACATTTCAAAATAATTCTAGTTCTAGGCCTATAAACATTCATTATTACATTACATCAGTGCATATGTTCACAGTTGCTCATGTCTATCTATGCACTTTTTTTTTACAATTAGGGCCTATGAAAAATTGAGATTGGAGCTTTAGCAAACATAGATCTAGAAATGCACAACATGTCCCTATGACATGTTTGATGGCCTATCTCTTCCCCACCATCCTTCATTTCATTTTGTTTACATTCGAGATGTGGATTTACAAACACCTGTTTCTGATATCAAATAAAAGCTATATTATAAAGAAAATAAATATGATTCAAATGCAACTTCTGATAGTTAAAAATACTGGATATACTTTTACTTATCATATTTCAAAAATAATATAAATATGCTTCACACTTACTCTCTTTCCGAATTCGCCGCCGGAACTATATGAAATTTAAACTTCTAGCGTTATCCATATAAGGAACAACAATGGCGATGTTGTGGTTATTTGACCAATGAGAAGTCAAAAATAATAAATTTCAAATGAAAACTGATATATCACTCCGCTAAAACGAAATACGCGTGCTCGATAAATGATAGACTTTTACGTTTTAATTATTTTTTGTTATAAGAAATAGAGGAAATAAAATGTATGAAAAGTGTTTAAAATAATTTAATATAACAAAACAGCTACTACTCAAAACGTGCATACATTTTTTAAAGAACTATATTTTTTATCGAACGGTTTTTACAGAAGAGTGTTTTTCGCCCACGAGTATTCGCGCTTTGACTTTCTAGTAGGAAATGTGAAAAAATACCCCGGGTTTATAAATTTATCGTGCAAACAAAGGTAAGTTTTTGACAAATTCATATCATAGCTTAAAACCATGCTACTCATGTTTGGAAAACAGCGACATTTAAATGAAAATCATGTAAATTGCATGTTGTGTATTTCATGTGTTTTAAAAGCGTACCATAAGCAATGCATAATGAAGTTTCAGAGTCTGAGAGATGTGCAACATTGATCACATTTTTATATTTCTTAATTTTATTTACTGTAGATGTTTCACAATTAAAAATATTCGTCAGACTCTTTGTAGGAATCCATGTAACAGTTTACCAGCTGATCGAAAGTTTGTAATTCGCGGCAGTAAACCTGTGTTAGATCTATTAATATTTTATAAGTCAGGACTGGTCCCTGTGAATTGTTTTGAAGATTCTGTACACATGTTTAAAATAATTCTACAAGGTTATATGAAATGGAACAAGGTTGACATTATTAATATATGCTCTTGTTTTTATGTGCAGATGTTACATGGAAAAATTGTTGTAATAAAAAGGTCAGGTGCAGATGGAGCACAGTTTCCTTTGACTGCTGAGAACTGTGTGTTTGGCAGGTATGAAACAAAATGTTTTCTGGCAATATTTTATAAATCTTGCAGATTTTCATCATTCCCTAAGGGTATATATAATAATCGAACATAAGTCTTTGATTTAATTTCTGATTATAAAGCAAAACATTAAACCCTGTAGACATAATACATGCAGAACAGGGCTATAAAATTTATTCTTTTGTTGTTTATATGATGATTTCTGTAAAACAGGTCCAGTGAATGTGACATAAGAATACAGCTGCCAAATGTATCAAGGGAACACTGTCGAGTGACTGTGGAAAATGGTGCGGTAAGTATGGGATCATCAAAAATAATGAAAAACCAAATCACTTTATGTGATAATACCATGCATGCTCACAGACTAACACTTACAAGATATTTTCATGTCAAGTTAAGATAATTAAATGCCTGTATTAATATATGACAGGGTCATCTTTGAAAAATTTGTTTGGAATCATCACCTTGGGAGGGTTGGGTTCAAACCATTATAGCCTTTAATTTAAAAAAATATATATATTTGATGTCCTTTTAAGGTATATCTAACTAATCTGAGTGACTCAAATCCCGTGTCACTTAATGGAAAAGTTCTGGATGGAAAGAAGAAACTCTCCAACAAAGATGTCTTCACAATCATAGACAGATCATTTAGGCTCGAACTTCCTGAGAACATGCGCAGTGCATCTCCGAAGAAGACCCCTGTCAAATCTCCACACAAGGTATTTTTAGCAACTGCATGCTTTATTATACCCCGCTTGAAAAGTGGGAGGGATAAATTGATCAGGATGTCCATCCGTCCGTTTGTTTTTATTTTGTTCATGTGTTTGTGTGTGATACTAGATCTGCTTAGAATCAATTGTATAATTGATAGTTTGCACTTTTATGAATGGTTGCATTTAAATTGCATGTTGAGCATGAATACTGTAGAATCACAAATTTTCGTTGGGATAAAATTTCATTGTTTTGTTGCCTAGAATAGTTTCGTGGGGATTTGATTTCGTTGTTTTGAAAGTGTCCCTATACAATATATATGTCATTTAAAAATTTTGTGTGGGATTTAATTTCGTTGATAATTGTTAACAACAAATAAACAAAATTTAATCCCCCACAAATATTTCTGCTTTTACAGTATTCAGATTTAAAAAAAAGAATGAAAATAAAACTACATTTTAAATTGGTCAGACCAACATCTGCAAAGTTGTAAAGTTTGTCTACAATTTGCAGAAGAAAAAGAGACATCCTTTGATAATTTTAAAAGGTATAACCGTATTAAACCAAAAGAAACAAAATATGATTAAAAAAATATTTTTCAAATGTAAAACCACATGAATGGGAGATATTAAATTTCAAATTTTCATCACTGGCATAATGCTTTCATTGATTGTTCAATAGTATTGTAGATGCTACTCTAAATGTTCAAAACAATTTTCATACCTGGGAAAAAAATAGATTCTTTTATACTTTTAATTCATTTTTGAAAAAAGTTAAATTATGAAAATAGAAGTACAGCAATTCAAATAAGTAAACGGGGTAGGGAGAAAGAAAAGAATTAAAATTATTGTTTTTGATTGCAATCATTAATAGTTTTAACAACTTTAATTAAATGTTTTCTTCTTGTGTAAGAAAATTTTAAAGATGACGTTGAAATGTTACAGAATAATCAGGAACTATGAGCTTTAATTTAATCCTTGCAGATGAAGGCAGACTCGAAAATCCTTACCCCTAAGGTAAAACCACCAATTGGAACACCTCAGAAGCCTAATACTCCTTCTGCCAAAAGCCCTAACAGGCGTACTTCATTAGCTGCACCCAAGTCTCCAAGCTCAAATACCGCTCCCACTCCAAATGCAAAAGGAAGATCTCCTTCACCAAAGAAAACACCAGCGTCGAATTTAAAGTCAGCGGTACTTTCAGAAACGCCAGCAAAATCTCCAGTAAAGAAGGTGGCAACCCCAAAATCTCAGCCCAGGTCAAGAAGTTCTTCACCAAAGGCAAAGGTAACCCCTGCTAAAACTCCAAAATCAGGTAGAAAATCGAGGAGTGCTTCACCGAAAACCAAGACACCAAACAGGTCACCCAAAGCCAAGACCCCAGTGACATCCACAACGCCAGCTAAAGCTACTGAGGAATCCAAGACAACACCTAAAACAGGAAAAAAATCAAGGAGTATATCACCAAGAGCCGATACACCTGTAGTGGCAAATCCAGCAGAACCTGCAGAGATTCAGTCAACCCCTAAACCAGGCAGGAAATCTAGAAGCACCTCTCCTAAGTCCAAAACACCAAAAAGTGCAACTCCGAAAACAAAGTCTCCTGGGGCCAAGTCACCTGCAAGAAGTGCATCTCCTAAGGCTAAAACCCCTAAAGCCAAGTCGCCTGCAAGAAGTGCATCTCCTAAGGCTAAAACTCCTAAAGCCAAGTCACCTGCAAGAAGTGCATCTCCTAAGGCTAAAACTCCGAAAGTTGCAACTCCTAAAGCAAGTTCACCAAAGGCCAAGTCACCTGCAAGAAGTGCATCTCCTAAGGCCAAAACCCCCAAAGTTGCAACTCCTAAAGCCAAGTCACCTGCAAGAAGTGCATCTCCTAAGGCCAAAACACCTAAAGTTGGAACTCCTAAAGCAAGGTCTCCAAAGGGCAGGTCACCTGGAAGGAGTGCTTCTCCCAAGGCAGAAATCTCTGGAACTGTATCTCCAAAGGTACAGACACCTGTAGCTTCAACTCCTGCCAAAGAGGCTAACGTAATTGCAACCCCTAAGTCTGGTAGGAAGTCAAGAAGTGTATCACCTAAAGGCAAGACTCCTAAGGCTTCACCAAAAGCCAAGACACCTGCAAAGTCTACCACTCCTGTTGTCGGGGAACCAAAACAAACTCCAAAATCAGGGAGAAAATCAAGGAGTGTATCACCTAAAGCCAAGACCCCCAAGGCATCTCCTAAGACTCCTGTAATATCTACTACTCCAGTGGTAACTTCTGAAGAAGCTTTGTCCACACCCAAGTCAGGTAGAAAGTCCAGAAGTGTTTCTCCAAAGTCAACAACACCTGCTGCCACTCCAAAATCTGCACAGAAGGCCAGATCACCTAAATCCAGGAGCCCCTCCCCAAAGGCAAAGACACTGGCTAAATCACCGGCTACTACTCCTAGAGTTACTAGTCCTGGGAGGAAGACAAGAACTCCCTCCCCAAAAGCTGCTGCATCAGCAAACACCACTCTGGAGTCTCCAAGCACCAGCGGATGGACACCAGTTGGTAAGCAGTTGAAATAAATTGTAAAGTTATAATTTTGAATAATTATTATAATAAAAAATTTTAACTTGGTGGTAGTTTAACTTTAAAAAAGATTGATTTGATTCATGAATATTTTTCTGTGTTTAGAAGAAGTAAATGATAATGAACTTGAGCTGACACTGTGATGTGTATGTTCTTAAATTTTAACCCTTTGATTTGATTTTTTTTCTTTCAGTGAACAAAAAGAAAATGGAAAGAAGAGTAAGTTATAAAAAGAAAAAATAATAATTTTAAGCAGTGGTATATTTTGATATGAAATTGAAGTAGTAAATTAATTAGTGTTGTTTTAAACAGAGGTGAACATTTAGCTGACATGAAAGGTGTTAATTAGTGCTGTCGTTGACATTTTTAGCTCACCTCAACGAAGTTGGGGGGAGCTTATGTGATACCCTCGGCGTCGGCGTCGGCGTCGGCGTCCCGGGTTAAGGTTAAGTTTTTTGGAGCAGTTTTCTTTTTAAGTACTTCTTTGTCCTATATTGATTAGACATGCATGGAAGATGTTGCTAGTGAGTTTCATTGTACCAGTCAAAGTTTCAGATGCTGAAATTTCAGCAAAGGAATGACCAGGTTAATGTTTTTGGTGCAGGTTAACATTTTTGGTGCAGTTTTTGGTGTAGGTCTCATTTCCGAGTAACTATAAGCCCTATGTTGACCAAACTTACATGGATGATACATCTTAGGATGCATACTACCAGCCTTGCTTCGGATGCTGAATCTGACCTACATTTTCCGGTTGAGTGAACAGGTTAAAGTTTTTGGTGAAGGTTTCATTTCGAAGAT